TGAGGCTGCCAGCTCTCTGCCTGGCGCCTGCTAGACTGTGAGCAATTTAGGTTACGTCTCCTAGCAGTGCTGAGCAGAGGGCCTTGTACATCGTGAGGTCTGGTTACATGTTTGAATGGATGGATCAGTGATCCACTTGTGTCAAGTGCAAATGTTCTAGACACGTACTGAGTTCCTGTTCCTCTTGTGTCCCCTCTGCAGCTGGAGCTCTCAAACACCGCTGTCCTGCACCAGATGAGGCGGGACCAGGTGACAGACACGTGCCGAGCCAACAATGCCATGAGCCGCAAGCGGCGGGTGCTGACCCCCAGTGACCTGAAACACTTGGTGGTGGACGAGGACCATGAGCTCATCTACTGCTATGTGCCCAAGGTGGCGTGTACCAACTGGAAGCGGCTCATGATGGTCTTGACGGGCCGGGGCAAGTACAATGACCCCATGGAGATCCCAGCCAACGAGGCCCACGTGTCGGCCAACCTGAAGACCCTGAACCAGTACAGCATCCCAGAAATCAACCACCGCTTGAAAAGCTACATGAAGTTCCTGTTTGTCCGGGAGCCCTTCGAGAGGCTGGTGTCTGCCTACCGCAACAAGTTCACCCAGAAGTACAACACCTCCTTCCACAAGCGGTACGGCACCAAGATCATCAAACGCCAGCGGAAGAACGCCACCCAGGAGTCCCTGCGCAAAGGGGACGATGTCAAGTTCGAGGAGTTCGTGGCCTATCTCATCGACCCACACACCCAGCGGGAGGAGCCGTTCAACGAGCACTGGCAAACCGTGTACTCCCTCTGCCACCCCTGCCACATCCACTACGACCTCGTGGGCAAGTACGAGACACTGGAAGAGGATTCTAACTACGTGCTGCAGCTGGCAGGAGTGGGCAGCTACCTGAAGTTCCCCACCTATGCAAAGTCTACGAGAACTACTGATGAAATGACCACAGAATTCTTCCAGAACATCAGCTCGGAGCACCAGACGCAGCTGTACGAAGTCTACAAACTCGATTTTTTAATGTTCAATTACTCAGTGCCAAGCTACCTGAAATTGGAATAAAGGGGATGGGGAGAGGGAGAGAATTGTGCTTTTTAATTTAAGATTTTTATTTGTCAAAAGAATTATATGGATATTGGGTTATTTTGTAAATTAATATTTCTTTGGGGAGATGCTGCGAGCAGCATAGTGAGAATTATTTAAAATCCTTCATAGGGAAGGACTGCTGTCTTTGCAGGGGAATAGATGGGTTGTCCTTGTTTCTAGACGTGAATACTGCAACACTGTCTCAAAGGTTTCTTTGTGTTCTGGTGAATTCCATGAATTGTGCATTCCATAAATTCTAATAATTTTATTTATAGTTATTTAAACACAGTCTCTGTATAGATTTCTTTTTGTGGCAACAAAATTCTAATGTCTTTCCAGAAGAAATCTATGTTTCATGCTTTGCTCGCTGCAGCTCATTGGGGGCATGAGTGTTCTCCTCACTAACCTCTCGTGGAGTCGTGTGATGACAACCATTGTGATGTGTACGGATGCCACCATCCTTCAGACTCTGCTAGAAATAAGTAGGTTGCTACTGCATTTAGAAATATGTATCTTTGCAAGGGACTAATTCCAAACCAATTTCAATCAACCCCAAAAGTCCTTTGCACTAAAGAAATGTGATGCTTTTTTTTTTTTAACCCGAGGAGAGAGCTGATTGTAGCAATTTTTTCACCGGAATTAGCAGTCTGATAGAATAGGCTTTTGGCAGAAATTTTTAACTGGCAGTGCCAATTGTGGTGAAGGTAACGTGGCTGTTGCTGTATAGTCAACAAATATTTATTGAGCATCTACTATATTCTAGGTCCAATTCTAGGTCTTGCGTACAGAGCATTGAACAAACACATTAGTCTTGGCCCTCAAGAAGCTTTACATGGACACAGAGCGTCCAGCTCGACAATTAGCAAATCCCTGCTACTCATGGACTTCACATGAGGTTTGGACTATTATGGGCAACCCCAGAAGGTCCATGACCCCTACAAATTTGCATTTGTCTATGGCCCAAATTTGAAACCCACACGCTTGGAGCAGGCCACTTAACTTGGTGAGTGATCCAAGCTCATTGCCCAAAAAAAGAGATGGCAAAAGTTTCCTATCATGTGCCCTCTCCAATTTATTGGTAGTGTCTGCCTTCAAGCCCCAGAATGGATTCTCCAGGCACAGCGTGGAAGAGTGCTGTGATTGATTAGCAGTGTCTGTCTTGGGTGAGGGAAGGGGAATGCTGCCTCCTACTGTCATCTGCAGCCCAACGTCCACATCCCCATGCAGAAGTGTTGTTTTCTTCTGCTTGCCACGTAAAAGTGTGAAGTGCTGTGGCAGGACCAATCCATTCTGGGATTTGCAATGGTCTGCTGTTCTGACCCTCATGAAGGTCAAAGGTAGACCATTTGTACACATAGGCACGTGCACACCCTCCCACGTCCTCCAGAGGCTAAGAGAGCATTGGCACCTTTGTGAATGCCATGCATGAGCGGCAAGGACAGCCTTCCGTGAGCTTAATCCACGCCCCATTTCCTGCTCCTTGCTAATTAACATCATCTACAAATGCTTCTCATTTCTAGCCTTTCCGATGCTTCTCGGTTGAAGTTTGAGCCACATCCCTCTTACAGCTGGTGAATGAGTCGGTAGCAGATACTGTATATAATAATAATAGTTCTAATAATAGGGGAGGGCGGGATGGGGTGTGGGTAAGTTTTGCTTTTTGTTTTGTTTTTGATGCAGTTCATAGTGAAGGGGTGAGACTATTCTAAACAAACAAAAATGAATAATTTATTCACAGATACTATTAAAATTGTATTGTAAAGCTCACAGCAAGCTCAGTGAGCAGCAACTGCAACATCTCACCAAAGAAATTATTTTATTTAATGTGAGTGAGATGTGCACCGGAGAGGGCAGCTAAAAGCAATTTATAAAACGTTGTGTACCTTTTTCCAAGCTCTCTCCCCTTTGTGAAGGGCATAGCAACTATGCCCTTGATGGACAGAGATTTATGCAATGTATTTTACCAAGTAGAGTGACAGACCTTGGCTGTCCTTGGAATTGAGAGTCTGGACCTTATTTACAGGCAGGGAACACTGTCCTCAGAAATAGGGCTTCTGCTAATCAAACAGGTTTTACAGCATTTCCTAGTATGTGCTCTGCAGAACACGGGTTCTAGGGGACGTGGTGTGATGCAAACTAAGGGTTTTGTGGTCAGATTACCCTGGGAAACTGTCAGTTTCCTTTCTGCAGACAGCACTTTTCAGAGTCTTGGCTTTGTGCTGTACATTGTGAATCCCCAGAGCATCATTGAGTCAGTAACATTTCCTGGATTTACATGACCGGGATACTGTATGTTGCAGATCATCTCACAGAGCTAGTTTTCCACAGAATATACTTTGGTTAGGTTGATTTAGCACATCTGAGGTCTTCAAGGATAATAACTGCCTCCACATCCCCCTCCAAAACAAAAAAACAAAACAGCACCACAGTCTCCATCTGGTTTATAGCAACAGAGGTGCTTTATCAAATGAATTAAATTTTACTTAAGTACAATGGTTCTAATCCTGGACACTGCCACGGACAATGATTCCATCCCTCCCAAATGCACTGGAGGGAAGTCTTGGGTGGTGTGGACAGAAGGAAGGGGGCAGGGCATAAGGCCACCGAGTGGCCCCTACTCCTCAAGCCTTAAAGGTTGTTCTGTGGGAGCAGACGATCTCTTGGTGAGTGCTTCTTCAGTTCCAGAGCCTGGACTTGTTCACCAGGTGCTTTTTGGTTTCTAAATGGAAATTCATATAAATTTCCTGGGTTTTGCATTTCTGTGTCCGTCTTTGCTCGGTTGTGCAAGCTTGCTCAGTGTTACGTGCAGACGGCCTTCCTTCATCCCCTTCTCTCTCTTAATTGAGAAAGATTGTCCTCCAGGGGACAGCACATCAGTATGTTTCAGAAATGAGGGACTCTTTCCCCTAGTGTTCTGTTTTGTGTTCCCATTTTATTTTCTGATAGCATAAAAACTTTTTAAAAAGAAAAATTGATTTAACTGTTTTGCAGAATGTAGAAAGTATTCTGTGTCCTTGGTTAAAGAAATCCATTGGTGAAGTGTGCCTGGAAAGCAAAAGTTAGTATATTTGAAAGAAAAATGTTTGAAAACACTTTCTATTGCATGCTTAGCTGGAGAAAAGTACAGGCAAGTGTCCTATCTCCGAGCCACTTTTCAAAGGTGCTGCTGCATTTTTAAAACCAGGTACAGTCAGGGTAGTATTTACAAGGACATTCCTACTTACCCTATCCCTTTGATTGGAAAACTCTAGATGATTAGCCGCAAGGTTTGACTCCTGCAGCTTCTCCAGATCCCCTCTGGGCCCTCCCCAGCTGGCCTGGGAAGAAGGGCATCCTGCTGACCTGTGGTGTCTCGGGACTTTCCTCCTCTCTGCCTGCCAGGTGAGCTTCATTCTCCTGCTAAAGGCCATGGGAGAGCAGTGAGCAGTGGAAAATTGTCACACCAGTCCTCCTGGTGGCAAAAGTGTGGAATCCAGGACAAAAGAAAGCTCCAGAACAGAGTGTGTGTCTCCAGCACACTTGACTGGTGGGTTCTGGACCAGTGCCAAGACAGTGATCGCAAAAGTCCCTGTTCTAACCTGGTGAGAAGCAGGGGGACTGTACTTGCTTTCCCAGCCCAGTCATCCCCTACACACACACAAACACACACACACGCATGCACACACACAATCTAAGCTGCCCCATTCTGTGCAATCCCAGTGACCAAATCGCTTGCCCACCTCTATGTCAGCAGGACTGACCACATCACTCCCCCAAGTCTCACCACCAGCATTCCCTCCACCCTTTTCCCATCACAACCAAATGGACCTTATGAACAGGCAACAGGACCTTCTAGAACCAGCTTGATCCTTGGCCATTAACAGAATTTTAGTCTGCTACTCTTTGTTAGGTACTGAAGGGACTGCCCATACTATTTTCTTATGAGCATGCTCAGTATGGCATATGGACGTAAAACTTAACATCTTTGTGGAGTGTGATTTTTTTTTTTTTTTTTTTACGTATTTGTATGCAGTAGAAGGCCTGTTGTAGAAAACTCTCCCTGTATCTTACTGTACTGTTAAAGAAAGCTGAATTCCACATTGCCAACAAAAGCGTGTGAAATGTTCATGAACCTTCCTCCAGGAAAAGCCATTCAAGCCTGATTATTTTTCTAAGTAACTTCAATTAAATTGAAGAAGAAAAGAAGCTTCTTTCTGTGTACGGTTTGTTCGTGGCTCATTAACAAAAGACTGTAGGGTGGGGTGGGCCGTGTTCCTTAGCATGTGGGGGGCCCTGCTCATGTGTATCAGAGGATGGAGATGCAGGCTCTGTTGGCCAACTCAGCCATGGCAAAGACCACCATAGATCCAAATCCTTCCTGTTTATTGGATGAATGGAAGCTTTTCTTCATCCCATTTATTCTATAAACTCTCTGTAGAAGGATACAGTTGAAGGCCCACTGTGGTCTAGTAGTTCCACCACTCAGGTAAAATAGGCAACAGAGACTCCCAGAAGTTAAATGGCTTTGGTGGCAGAGCTGGTGTTCAAACTCAGGTTGATGCATCTTCACAACCCCAAGCTTTTGGTGATAAATGACGTACCTCCAAGTGACTGCCCATGGTCCTGCTGCTAGCAAGTTGCAGACTTACACTTTAATCCCCAATTTTCTCATTTCAAATCTATTCCTTTCCAGATGCCCCATATAGCTTCTTCCATCCTCATGATGGGCATCTTTTAGCTTTATTGATAAAAATGATTTATTTTTCCAAAGAAGAAATCATACTCAAAGTTGACTCTCTATTTCTTTGTATTCTAATTTCTTTACATGTATTGTAAACATTTTATTTTATTTTATTTTATTTTTTATTTTTATTTTTTTTTCAAAAGATGACCGGTAAGGGGATCTTAACCCTTGACTTGGTGTTGTCAGCACCACACTCAGCCAGTGAGTGAACCGGCCATCCCTATATGGGATCCGAACCCGGGGCCTTGGTGTTATCAGCACCGCACTCTCCCGAGTGAGCCACGGGCCGGCCCTTATTTTATTTTTTTAAAAAGATGACTGGTCAGCACCACGCTCACCCAGTGAGCAACCAGCCATCCTATATGGGATCCAAACCCGTGGCCTCGGTGTTAGCAGCACCACACTCTCCTGAGTGAGCCACAGGCCGGCCCCAGTATTGTAAACATTTTAACATGAGGATATTAGGTGAGGAAATAGATCCCATCTATCAACCATGCCAGATATGGTTTCTAATGTCCACTCACCAGCTGGTTTGTACCACCGGTGACCTGGCCTCC